TCATCATCATCATCATCATCATCATCATCATCATCATCATCATCATCATCATACAGCGGAATTCAGTGAAGAGAACTTAACTGCCGGCCCCTAAGCTCACAATACATGCAAGTTAAGTGAGAATGTGCAAGAAGGACAGAGAGTGAGTCTATTTTGGAGGACTAGGAAAGAAATTGAACCTGTATGGTCAGCACACAGTGTGCACAGTTCAGCTGTGCATACATACGTTTTCAATCATTCTGATCTGATAAGAAGTGATGGCAAGAACGCCACGGCTGTCGGTTGGCCACCATGACTTTCAATGTTTCCAACCATCCGGTTATGGAGCCTTTTGGACCACAACCCGCAAGGCGAGAAACAACCACTGTANCGTTTCCACGTCGTCTGCTAACCTCCACGTGGTTCTCTCCGGTCTAGAGCGGCCACTGCATGTAAGCTTAGGTTGCCTAGGTTGCCGGTTCGGATAACTGAACAGTTACTTAGAGGTTCACTCGTTCCACTGTTCATTATATTCAAACATTTAGTTAATGAAACAGATAAAGCTAAAGCTATCTCATTGCCCAATAACAACAGTTGACAATTTGAAAACGGACATGCAGAATTACGATGACCAGCCTCAGTCGCCGAAAGGTATTCACAAGTAGCTTTGCAGACAACAGTAGATATTTATACCTGGTAAACGAAAAGCCGCAGATAAAAGCAAAATATTTAGAAATTCTCATCATCCCAGTAAGTATGCCGCACAAGATTACTCCATAATTTCGACTTACTGTAATTGACGTTTGATTCTGCTGAGCCAAAACGGTGCAGCGTTTGTCCAGGGATGGGATTTTCTGTCGATTCCGTGGACTCTAACCCTTGATTTGGAACCACAATCGGCGGCGGGGTAGACATAGAAGTGTTTCCTCGACCGGTATACACGGAATTCGATTCACTGATACTTGGTGTCCCAAGATGATTACGCTGCTGTTGCTGCTGCTGCTGCTGCTGCTGCTGCTGCTGCTGCTGGTGATGATGAAGCATATGCTGTTGTTGTGTTGGTGGTTGTGGTTGGTGCGGACGACTATGATGGTGGTGGTGACGATGATGATGATGGTGGTGGTGAGACTGGTGCACAAGCGGATGTAGGGCAGAGATATGTGGAGTAAAAGGATCGGGAGATGTTTTACCAAATTTCGCAGCCGGAGAATCGGCTTCCGACTCGTCTAGTGATCGGCGTAGATACGAGTTGTTCGGAGAATTGGATCGACGCATTCGCTGTTCTAACAGATCCGATTCTGTCGGCATTCGCGTGGATTCCGGATCCACAAATGTAGTTGGTAATAATCTCGTTTGATAGTGTCCCCCGGAATCTCCGCGTGAGTCAACACGGCCGGTTTTATAATCTCGTTTGACCGAGTGAAGCAATTTCGGTGTTGACTGTTGCTGGTATTGGTCATTATGGCTTGGACAATAGCGTTTATTAGGCTTGTCCTGCGATGGACTACCGACATCATCGGTCAGGACATCCTCGTTTGTTGTGGTGCCCTGATCATCATCCGAACGTAAATCTTCCTCCTCATCCCCATCCTCGTTAATCTCTTCGCCCCGATGTTTCGGGGTCCAGGTCATCTTATTCTCCTTTTTCAGCCTTCTTCGAGCATTCGCAAACCAGGTGGAGACTTGTGTGAGTGTCATCTTGGTGATGATGGCCAGCATGATTTTTTCACCTTTTGTCGGGTACGGATTGTTGATATGTTCCTGAAGCCATGTTTTGAGGGTGTTGGTACTCTCTCGTGTGGCATTTCGACGCCGGGCGGTGTTTAACTCCATGGATTGACTGTGAATCAGAGAAGGAAAGACTCAGATCAATAAGCGGTTAGTTTTAGGGCCCTAGGAAGATCAAATCTTTTTCATCGTCAAATTAACCCACGGAATCCTCTTTTCTAAGCGGGCTTCCTGTGCACATTTTAACCTATAGACCTTCAAACTTAACCCGCACGCTTCCCCTGGAGTTGAAAGTGCACAACGTAGTCGTATCTTATGCCCATCCCCTTTGTAAATGTTTGCCCACCTTACAAGTTTAATATGAAGCTTGTGGTAGCTTAAACTGCAGATGGTGGTAGTGGTGATGGTGATGGTGATGGTGGTTAACGTATAAGGAAAAAGAACTGTACGTGTACATTTAAGAAAGTCCATACTGTCTGACAAAACAGGAAAACTGGTGACCAATATGAATAATCTGCGTGATGTCCTCAGGGTGTTCAATGTTGGGGGAAAACCCCTAATGCAGTGTAAATTCGAAATGATATCTGTTTCTAAACGTTTTGAAAAGCATTGACCAAAATTTGTTTCACCCACTGACAACTCTTGTCCATTTGAGACAATACTGACTTTTCTTTTTCACCGAAGAGGAAAGGAAATGAAGCCCTTTTCGTGTGTATGACTGGAACTTAAATCTTTTGCATATTACGATCTATGTATGTGTGGAAAATGTGCCAGTGCATAGTATGGGATCGAGGTGAGTCAGTCTATTTTCTCCAATCTCTTTCACATGTTTGAATTCGGTGAGAATTATAACTGTTGTCTGGTTCGGTTGGTGTAACTGACAGATTGCAAATGGATTCAATGATCACTAAACACGTGACTAGACAAATAGACGCATGAGATTCGTAACACGCGCGCGCACACCAAGTTCGTGGATAATGTGGGTTGTTCCTGTCAGTCGGATTGAGATGCTTGGTGCACAGTAGCTTTTCTGGCATGGTAACCAGATTATGACCATTTCGCCATCGGGCGAGAGAGAGAGAGACAGTCATATCAATTTATTCGGTAAACATATCCTTTAATAGAATTTCAGATTACAGATAAGCAGTATTTATTCCTAGACTGAACATTTTCGAATAAACGTATGATCCATGATATTTTTGGCATCACAGTAAAATGATGAGGATATTCCAGTATATGATTCGCCACGAATACTGTATATGTTAGACTTATTTTTATGGCATGTTCACATACCAGATCCGTATGCTGGTTAACCGTGCAGAAAGGGAAACAAAACCGTATTAGAAGCCAGGAGTCTTGGTTTCGGAAATTCGATTCATCGGATCCCATGTATGCATTACATCAATCCGGAAATAAAATAAATAATGCGAGATGTCAACATTTTTGCCAATTTCCTCAAGTGGTGGAATCTACATGCTGGAATCTACGTGGGCCACTGGGTTGATCAATCAAGGTTGAACGAGCGTGGACAAGCAAACAAGCAAGTACTAAGCAGAAGAACAAGGTTATCTCCACGGTAAGTGGATTGATTAGGTCAATACATTTTGTGTGCATAAAATCGGGGAACCAAATCAGAAACGCTTCACTAATCACAAAACGTTTAGCATTGTAGTTGCGTAACAGTGATAGAAAGGATAACGAATGATCAACCGCGTATAGTTTCGACGAGGCGTTTCGTAAAACATGACCCCGGTTTTCCTGTGACTGTCTGACCGCCAGTTGTCAGTCGCTCCATCATCGTCACCCACCACTTTTAAATGTGTGCGGCCATTCGTCGTGATAACTGAGAGTTTATTCTACCTACACGTCCGTCACCGCAACTGCAGCTGAACTGGTACAAGTGCGTGAAACAGAGTCGGTTCGCCAACCATGTCTCTGTTTGTCCAGATCGATTCGGTTAGTAGAGGCAATGAGTCTGATTTGAGCAGTTGGGAATGTGTGGTTCGGAGCTGACTTCAATTTTTGTCGCGCATCATTTAAAATGTCATCACTTTTACAAGTGTACTTCACGGCATTTTGACCGGGTTACTTTTTCTCCGAAAGTCCACTATAGATATGTTATGCACTTGTCTGAGTAATCATTGTTTAGTAATGTTCTCCCCCTTTTGTCGTGGAGAACAAAATTGTTTTGTTTTTGCCCTTTTTCAGTTCATCACCCGCAGTGCCAATATCTCTTCAAGTTGAACACTATTCCAGTCAATTTTTGATAAATATTAATGTCTTGTTACTGATCGATTCAGTTTGTCAGTAAACTTAGGCACACATCAAAATAACAATACTGAATACAGTTTGGATTTTCTTTGGAATAAGAGAAACTAGGTACGTTTTATACGAAAAAATAAATCGATTTTTGTCAATCAAAAAGTGAACTAATTGATCTATCGATTAATCTCGTTGTGGCCGATTAATATGGGAATATTCTTTACGTCAGAGGATAGAAGATCGATACGGACCAGAGTAGACCATGGATAATTATTCTCACACCTATAAATTGCGTACTATTAGCTTTCCTTTCTGGACTCGAACGGTATGTGCAGGGATCCTTACCCCGATTCGGGTTCACAGCAATGTAGGTATAGCTTTGAAAACAACTTATGCAGCTAGACCAACACGCGTCGCATGAAAAAGATCACGTCATGGTTAACTTACTTTGTGTTTTGACCGAAATTCAGTTGCCCATTCGGTCCTGGCCATGGGATTGGATTCAACGAGCCGGGATTTTCTGCCTCATCGCCGTCGGATTTCGGAAAGGGAGAGCAGGAAAGGTACGGATTGGTCAGCGCATTTGGTGGTGGCATAAACAAGGGTGGCGGTTGGAACGGGACCATAATGGACGGATCCATCGATCCGTCCCGATGACACCGCCCGACCGAATGCGTGGGAATAGTGGGATCGGTTTGATTCATGCGCATTAGAGAGGGAATTTTCGCATACGCATCAAAACTGGTCCCGTCCAACTCCGTGGATTCATCCATTTGACCCAAATTATTCGGTACCTGTCTGTCCAAACGGAAAACAGGATTGTCGGGTGAGGATGGATGTCGATGGCATGGATACGGAGTACTGTTGACCAACTGATGAACCACTGCCGCCGTGTCGCACGTTTCGTGTCGACTGAAATCTCGAATCGGTGGCTGAAATGCTGGAAAGTTTGGATGGCGGGATGTGTCAAATGAATCAGCTGAAATCGCACCGGGAAGCCATCCTCCTCCTCTGGTCAATCGGGTCTCGTCTTTTTTTGCGGTCGATTGTGCCAGGTCGTGAAATTCATTCGTACTCGCGGATAACTCAGCAGAATCGTACGACCTTTTGAGCAAAAGGGGCATGATCTGTTCTTTAGTCGTACCCGGGAAGTGATTGGGCAAGAAGGCACCGCCGAGTAGGCGATTAGATTCTGATTGCACCATTGTATTTCGCTCATCGTAGCCCACAATAGCGCGATCGAGTGAATGCAGATCCGTGTACGGAGCCTTGCTTGTTAAGTGAACAAAATTTGTGATATCTGTGGGTAAATTTGGTTTTGTGTGAGCACTTTCTTCATTCATACAATGAGGACTATCATTCGAACCTAATCCATTCGGTTTGTAGATTGAACTGGCGTAAAACAGGGATTCGGACTCAGCATTCGCAAAGGGCTGTCCAACACTATCCAGTTCGGTTGAATAACCCTCAGGAAATGTGGGCTTTGAAAACGCAATTTTCGGGCTATCAACAATTGTGTTTCCGTCGCTCACAGGTAGTTTGTTGGACATAGTGGACTGGAACTCTTGAATGTGGTCGGTCGGAGAGTGGCTTTTGGCTAGTTGCCGTCCGGAACAAATTACGTCTGACGACGAGCAGAGTGCATTTGAATTCAACGGAGACTGTCTGAACTGCTTTCTTGCCTCAGATGTTGAAGTGGATGAATTGCCCTCTAGAGCCTACAGTTTAGGTAAAATTGAAAAACAAAGCTGACGATAATAATGAAATATAAACTGCCTTGGTTCGCAAGTTGTCATTCATCTCAGTTTCAGTTTCAATTTAATCAATCATTACCGTGCATTTTAGCGCGGCGATTTTGCGTGCTGCCCGTTTAAGTTGAAGGAGTAGAGTAAAGATTGCAATTCTGAAACCAGTGTAAAATGAAAATAGAGATGGAAATAGGGAATTCATCTAGACGGAGGTTGCAAGGAAATTGAGTAGGTGCACCAGCACCACTGTTTATGTTACTGAATCATATCTTTCAATGTCTATAGCCATCTGTTACACTGATCCCGAGGTCCCCATCCAGGAAGCCTAACCTGACTCCTGTGTGTAAGTCTCCTGGTCAGGGTTTCCATGCCTTCATGCAAGGTCCTCATTTGACCACTTTTCATTTTTCCATCCGTCATCTGCTTCGGCTAAAGTGACATGGAGATCTACTTGTTGACAAGCGTAACACGTCCCTCAACCAAAGAAATCTGTGTAAGTCTACCACGTGCTCTTGCGAGCTACCGGGAGTAACTAGAACCTGCACCTAATCGCACCATTGTTCGTCCAGTTGTACTACCGGATTCGTACAATGCAGCGTAGACAGTGGTGTCCGAACATCGACAGTTTGTCTCTATTTTGCCCCCTTTAACGGCCGTATAGCAGAACTGGTGGAACTTTCCTTCATTTATTCACTGAAAAGGCGTTTCTGGCACGGAGCGAATGTTTTATTTAGCTCATTTGGAATGATCACTTGCCCACAGTGAGGGCTCATAGTAGAGTAGAATGTCTGAACGATTCCTGGATACCTCCATTAAGCTAATCGGATTTAATTTGACGCTTCATTTCACGACAGTGCTACCTCGAGCGGCACCCACGAAGATCGTCCCTTTCTTTCGGACAAAGGTGAGATTATCAGATCAACACTCTGCTGGGCAAATAACAAAGTTTCCTCGCCTTCGAGTGAAAATTTGATTACTGGCAGTATGCGATCAATTGCTGTTTTAATTCGTCTGTGACTGAATTGACTCTCAACTGATAATTCCTCGAATGTTCCGGATCAGTTATTAATACCTAATCATTTATCGATCTGTTTGTAGACCCTTTTGAGCAATTCTGTCATGGCTATATTGGTGGCAGACACATAAATCGGCAAATGAGTAGTTATGTAACCGGAGACTATCTGTTCAATCAACAACCTATACTTTTGGATGGGTGGCCCAATGGTAAAATATCGATCAGGGAAACGTAATGTCGAAAGATGACCCTTCTAATTCGATTTGTTGAATTATAGAACGTGTACTCTGTATTTTAAGGGATTTCCTCGGTTTTCACTTATTTGTCAATCAACTGGACCTCATGCCACATTATGCAAACCCGAAACAAAACCGTTCACTGCCGCCACTCAGAGTGTAAACTCGGGAAATGACCGATCATTGGTTGGGTAACTCTAATGGATTAATTAATACCACCGGCATAATAACACTCCGTGAAAGTCAAGGAATAGAATCACGGACCGTCTGTATCAGGATACCGTTCAGTGACATATTCTTTTACCTCATCTGTGTTCTGAATTGCGTAGTATGAATGACGGGAGCACCCTAAGCGTACGACATCCAGACATGGATTGCACCAAATTATATATCCAAACAAATTAAAGTGCAGTCGATATAGTTCTAAACTTGTACAAAGCACAGATAAAATCGCTTAAAACTCTCTACTTCACCTGCTTTATCCAGTGGCACAAACGCCATCGGTAAAGTGGAAACATGCAGTCGAAATGCATTCGCTACCGAAACTACGCCCCGAAATAGTGGACTGGTTGTGCATTTTGGGATTGATACTACAGTCCGCTTCCATCTTATTGTGTTGGATACGATCACCAATATTCACGCCCTCGACATGACACGGAGTTCGTTTCATAATTGATCATTTGTTGATTTTTAAAAAGCTGTGCATTATTTATTTGGTCAAACTGTGGATACAACACTGAAAGCGCAACACGTATAAATGAACTTTACTGTTCCACAAAAGCGATAATTCTGTTCGAGAAAATTGACCTAATTATTTTTACAGCAGTAAACTCTCTTGGATTATACCCGATTAAACTGAAATTTTAAAGGTCCTTTTTAACATAGGCAAGGATAATCAGGAGTCATAATTGTTTCATACATCGCGTTTCAGAGTATGAGACTTAGTATTGTCCGGAGTCTTTGACTGCATCCCACGAGCGATCAAGGATCGTCCACTGCGGATAACGTTAAACAGGATGGAATCATACCTCCTTCGTGCTAAACAGCAACATGGAGACAGAAAACTATCAAGCGCTAGTTTATTTATAATAAAGTTTTTAAGAGAACCAAAATTTCTATCAAAAGTCAATCAATTTATCATTATTTTACGAACAATATGAGAAACACCAATGTGGTGTTTCGTGTTCATTTTGGGATGAGTACCTCTGATTCAGCTGGGAAGACTTAGTCTGGTGAGCGACTTCAATTGAACCCAACCGGTTGAATTTGATGTCCCACTACAGAGCTATACGACCAACAACTGATTGACTGTCTCCGTGAACAACATATGAACAAACTTGTATTGGTCAATTAAGGTGAGCTATTCTGTTCACTGTTACACATATGTGTTCGATTTCGTGAATCCGGGGCTCAAATCTATGATGGGTAGATGGATATGCTCAAAGGATGAGTTCTAATGAGAGTCAGACGCGAGTCTAGCGCTCTTCGGCTGTACGGCTCACTGGATGAACTAAGAATTGTGCTTGAAGGTGAAGTCTGAAGGAAGATCAACCGAAAGCAACAGCATAAAAGACACCACTACTCACAAGTAATTATGGTTTTTAAATGAAAAGAGATCAATAAACTCTTGATAAATGCTCCTGGCTTTCCCTCATTATGATTAAATTTATGACCAGAGCCACTTTCAACAGTCTTCAAAATTAACCACATTCACCACGCATCCATTCTGGAATACCGAAAGTTTTAGTAAAATAATCTCAAGTGTAGATGAGAACGATCGTATATATTTGGCTAAATTTATTTTCTAGGAATGAGGGGGTACTTACTTTCTAAGTTGGTAAAGTGCAATTGAGGAATTTAATTGTCCGTCAACGAAGCCTTTCTGTGAAAGTTGTACAATACCTTTGGACAATGAGTTCCATTGGACTAGTTGCAAACGTGAAAACAACACCATCGACAGCTCGATTAGCAAGCACATATTGAGTCTCGTTTCTACAGACTCATTTATCTGTCAAATAGAATTACATGCTTGCTCTAGACAAAACGGTTAATCAATCCCTTTAAAATATACCATAACATGGGTTAAAAATTAGTCTCAGGGAAATGTTTGATTCTCAATACACTCCGAGTCGAACTCCAATCAGATACAACAAAAAATGTATTTTTTAGATGAAGGTGGTGGAGGAGTAGTTGATCTGGCTATATGAAGCATGAACTGCAAAGCTAGGAAGTAATGAACAGCTGTTTCGGCTTGGTCGGGTTTCATCAGCAGTGCGAACCAACCGACTCAGCTGAGGGTCGAATCCAGGTCCCCACAGGTAGAACGTAAGCATGCTGCCCTCTTGACCACCGGACAGTTGATCAAACCGTCATTTCATTTCACTCATATATGACATAGCATAATCCGTCTTCACCAGACTAATGCGATTATCACACCAGGCGCTTCTGAGAACTAACCTCCGGGGTTATGACTCGGTCGGAAATATTCCAAACCTGGACTAATTGTGACATGAGATAGTTTGGTTTAACGCACGGTCTCCCTCTCCTAATGTCTTCTTCACGTTTCAGTCACTTGACTGTGAATATGTCGAATACAATAATAATATAACGTTTGCAGGTGGTGATAAGCGAAACCGTGTAGAATGTATAGAATGCATTTGTGTACAGTGTCTGAACCAAAACTTACTCACGTGATACCCCCTAGTGAACCAAAGCTCGTAGGTAAAATCAGAATTTGTCCTTTCGTTTCATCTGAAACTTGTTTCTTCATTTCTGACTATAGGAATAATTTTAAAACGGCAATATAATTTGACTTGAGAAAAACTGCTTACAAACAGTAAACGGTAATCTGTGATCTGTATTGTCACGTAATCATATCATTTCGTAGAAATTGGGTTAACTCATTCACAGTCAATGCATACTTGAGCAGTCGTTGACGCGCCACATTGTGGATGGAGTACGGAGTCAAATATCATCCGGAACGTGTCCGATAACAGTTACACTCATAGTTCATAATTCTCCGTGCATTGTGTAGAATCAATTTAACGGGAGGGATTATTTTGAGTATAATGCGAATGCTGTCTTGGGTTGAGGGAACAAAATGAAAGCCAATCCTAGCATTTTGTGTCGGTTAAGGGTTACAAACAGCATCAATCCCCTTCCATAATTTATGTGTAATTTGCTTCAGGGCAGCTTCAGTAACGAATTTAATTTTATCATTATATTCAACGTAATTAGCTGTCATGAAAGTGTTTATCGACCTAGGTAGGTGTTGTTCTCTCTACGTGCAATAGTTTAGATCATTCGGTCAAACTCATTCAACTCCGAATGTCAGACTGAAGTTGTTCCACAATCCAAGAGCAGTAACCCATTTCTGTTAGTATACGCAAATACGTTGTGCACATTATTAGAAACATGCATCACTATTTTCGGAGGTTTGTGCGCAATGACATTCCGTTCCTTTTATGCGTATAAATAAAAAGATCACCCAGCTCCTTTGGGAGCCTTGCTTAGGATGAAGCGGTTTCACTGATGCATCTCAACTTGGATTC